CCTACTGCAACACTGGATCTCAGTTTATGGTCTCATCCGAAGGACCGGTCTCCATGGCCACAGTGGAGATCGAACCCGCAACGTAAGGATCAAATCCTTACCTTGCGACTCTAGTGCAGACGCTCTAACTACTGCGCAACGCGGACGACGCGACATTGAGAGAAGGATGTCGTTTATCTTGGCAATTTTTAAACTTGTGTTTTGAAAATTTGAATGCATAATTTTTTTACTCTACTTAATGAAAGGATATTTAATATTTGGCTTTTTGAAGGCATTTGATGCTAAGGTTAATTTTCTATCTAGTTCAGAGTGCGAACCCCTTCTTGAATCATTGGTATGTACGAATTTCGGGTCAAAACGGCTTAATTCAAGTGATTTAAAGGCTAAATTTTTTTAGAAAACAGGTTCTCATTCAAAATGCATTGTAACTGAAAACACTAGCTGCAATAATGTAGCCCTCTCCCTTTTTTTTGGGTGAGGGCTACAACTCCTTAGGATCTCCGTAGTGGTGCAACTGCGGAAGCGATTCACTCCCGCATGGATTTCGGCTCAAATTGACAGTAAACGGCTATTTTATCAACATGTATTACCTGGAGTTCTTAAATGTAGTTACCCAAGACATAAATCGATGCAAAAATATAAAGAACAATCCATAAATCGGTTATTTTTCGTGTATGTCAACATCACAACTTAGATTTATCCGCCATGTTTACTGACCTTGACATATTTTATTTTGGGACAGCCCATGAGATTAAGGATCTATAGGGAGCAGATTTCTTTGGAATTACCTTATTTTAAGCCTAAGTATCGCTGTTTACGAAAAAATAACACATAGAATGGTTTTATTTATCGATGTTTAGCGATACTGTTCATAACAATTATTGAAAATTATTTTATAAACACCGACACTTGCTTTGTTGATTTATTCTAAATTTCAAGCGCAAGTCTCATTACGTCACGCGTGAACTGTCATGGCTGCAGAGTAGACAAGGCAGGTAACCACGCAGATTGATTTTACATGGTTTTCGCGTTAAACGGGCTATGTTTGTCGACAATGAATAAAAATTTCATCTTATTAGAAGTAAGTTGAATGTAAAAGCAATTTATTATGCCTGCGGTCGCCCGTATTTAAAAAATATTTTTGCACCATTACGGAGATGCTGTGGAATTGTAGCCCTCTCCAGAAAATATCAGATAAAAAAAGCGGAGAGGGCTACATTATTGCAGCTATGAAAGCACATGAGCAAAAACAAATTAATTATACAATTCAAAATTGACAAAGGTGCAGTTTAGTTAGAGGTTTGCATTAATATACACTAAAATAAACAGGCTATTAGGGATCGATTTTCTGCATATTAAGTATACAAAGAGGTATCTTCTTTTGTCTGCTTACATAAAAAAGATAATGAATATACAAAACTTCAGTAGATTTGATTATTTCAAATTAAACTGAGTACATGTAAGCTTTAAACTTATCTGAAGGTAACTTGAAGTTTAGAGTTGTGATATATGATTGCTTGCTCCTTCATGAAACCTGTCCCCACCTCTGTATACACAAAACTCACAATTTGTATAGTTTAAATAGTATTTTGAGCAAGATCCTCTTTAAATTCTTCACATTTCATTTCTTCCTCATAATTTGTATTTTCATGTGTATTGAAGTTATCTAACTAATTACACAATCGATATTGAAGATATAAATATTACGGGTGCTAGTATTGTTTGAAAATTGGAATTATTAAAGGTCAAAAATATAATCTACACTTTGTACAAATAAATCATCTCCAATTTATTTAAATTTAGCAATCGTTAAGTGAAGTGTTATTCAATACATCAGGTATGTGACAATTATAAAAAGAAGACAGATAGCTGTATCTCTTCAGGTTCATTTCAAGTGAAAAGTAATAAAGATTCCGTCACAAAATTCTTATATTAGTGAACATAATCAAATGATGATTTGAAATGCATGTTAAGAAACTGTTGTACATATACATGAGATATTTTTATATGAAAAGAAAGACAAAATCAGACTCCTGGGCGCATTATCGGTATAGTTTGTAGTTTGTCGGAATAACCAAAAAGATCATTTATCATTTTCATTATCAGTAAAATTGCCATAGAGGTATAAAGTCAAAGCAACATGATAAAATATTCAGTTAAAACATAAATCTTTCCATTTTGTGCAGATTCATGGTTCTCTGTCGTCTTCGACTAATCTACTTCCAACGTCGGATCCCATTCGGATGTTTTTAATTTCGTCCATCAAATTGTCGATGAAATCTATTTTATCATCTGAAAAAAAAAGAAAGAATTATTAAGACTGTTATGCACCCGTTAAGGAATTTTTCTGTTTGTCCGCAAAAAATCCAACATTGAGTGGATGGGGCTATATGGCTTTCATATTTCAAGATATTCCTTGTGATATGTTTTTTCTTCTGGTACCACCAAATTTGATCTCTTGACCTTCATGTTGGAGTTTGAACTACTTTTAAAAATTATACACTGTACCACACTTTAACCTTGGCCATTAATTTTGAACAGTTGGCGCAAGGTCTTTCTTTCTTCACTTGCGTACGCATTGTAATAAGACCTTTCAATGGGTAATAATATGTTTGACCTTTTGACCTTGACCTTAGAGTCTGACCCACTTTCGAAAACTTTTACCGTGGCAATAACTTTTGAACAGTGAAAACTAGGGCTTCCAATTTTCATAGTTGTATTCCTTGTACGAGGGTTGTTCGAAAAGTTCGTGGACGATATCAATCTTGGTGGCACTACTTTCAAGAAATTTAAAATATGCTTAATACCATGTGTAAAAATATTTGTTTTGTTGATTCGTGAAGTTTCATTTCATTCGATTTAATAGAAATAAAATTTACTTTATTTTTGCCGGCTGTTCAATCCATTTCTTAATGAATAAAATATATTTTAAACTAATTTACTTCTTTTAAAATCAACATATTTCTACCCGCGGAGCATACTTAACGGCAATGTATAAAAATACTATCCCTGTACATTTCCACAGTTTAGTTCAAAAATCACTTATTAAGAACCCTTTTCTAGCACTTGAAATTCATTTTTCTAAAAAATTGTTCTCGTTGCATAATTTCCTTTGTCAATATTTTAATTTCTTTTAACTTAGCTGTGCTTTCTCAAGATCAGCAACTCAGAAGCGCCTATAGATAAGTCATTCCATGACGTTCCAAATTTTTAAAGTTAGATAAGATTTTATCAGATAAACCGTTTTTTTTATTCCTATAACATTTTTAGAGTTTATTCAGGATTTTCCCTTGTATAACACAAAATTGAATCAATATCTGCTCCTCCACGACGTTCAACAATGTCATCGTTTTTCTCGCTTTCAATGAGAACTACATGTACCTATCTTCCCAAAATGATTTTTTTCAGTGAATCAAAATATTAAACCATAATTTGGTATATGAATCAGTATAACTTAATTTAAAAGTCTATGATTTTTTTCTCCATTTTTGTTCCATTTTACAGAGAATATGAATACAGAAATTGTCATATTTATTTCTTGTGACGTTTGTGAATTACTAAATTTTGACCTGTTCTGCTGTCCGATTTTTGCAGTTTTAAATTCTGGATAGGTTTGAAATAAATCATGATGCTTTTGAAAATTTTAATAAAAGTCATTTGAATTTATTGTTAAAATATTTCTACTAAAGGAGATGGGTGAACTTAGCGTGCAAAAAACCCACAAGCTTCAGATATATTAGAATCATATTCAAATTGTGATTTTAGTATTTAGAGTAAAGTTCTCATCATTGATTTTTGTAAAATCATGGTAAACAAAAAGTTTTGAGGAAAATTTTTCGTTAAAATTTAATCTTTTATAAAGTAAAATAATGACCATTGACCTTAGGGACTTCAAGTTTTTCTCGAAAAGATACGAAAGTTATGTCATAAACTTATAATTTTAAGGTACAGTGGGTCACTGCTCCATAATTTTGGAAACCAAAATATGTATGTTTTTATGCAAACTTTGAGGATTACCTTTCAAAAAAATGGAGAGAAGACCCACTCATAACGAAAAAAGTGTTATAGTGTGGAAAAAATGACTCGTTTTGTCCTCTTTCGTGTGTTTATAATATTTCATAGGCAAATAACTTCAATTTTCATGAGATTTGTGCAAGTTGTAGAGATTTTACATAAAGTATACTTTAATGTTAGATGAAATATTAAGGAAAATTTTGATATAATTGAGATTTAATTTTTCACCTTCATGTTTGTCAAGTTATGGGCTTATCTCTCGTCATGTTCACCCATCTCCTTTGGTTAGTATATGACATCAAATAAAAAAAAGATATGACAGGAGTCCACGAACTTTTCGAACAACCCTTATACATGTAACACTTTCGGTTCCAAGACTTTTGACATTGAATTTGGAGTTATGATGTGCATTTGAGAAAATTCATCCCTCGCCATAAACTGCCATACGGGGGCATCAGTGTTTCACAAACATGCGCCTTGTTTTTATTTATAAATACCTATGTATCTTTATTTATATTAAGGGGATTCTGAATAACAATTTTGAGCTTTCTTAATCTCATATCATAAGCGAAATAAATAAATATACAACAAAAGTTAACCTGAAAAGAATATTTTAAGTACATTAAATATATTTACCTTCATATAGAATTGGGACACAACAGTCTCTAACATCCTCTAGCTTATTTTCTTTTCTTGGGACATTTCGCAATATAGTTTGAAGCTCCTTTTTAAACTGTTCAATTTGTTTGGTGAATTGCTGGTTATTCAATCCAGCAATATAGGATTCATGCATATTGCGCAAAGTTCGTAGAGGTGCTGCAAATTCTCCCATGAAAAACTCTACAAATTCTTTAGGTTCACTTGGGTGTTTAGGTTTCTGTATGAATTAAAACAAAAACATATGTAGCATCTCCAGTGGAATACTAAAAACAGTAAGGATTACAGCGATGCACATCTAAATAATCAAAACTCTATAACTGAATTGAATTCCGATCCCTGCTTAGCGGAAATATGATATACCGTGTCATGCTTTAAATGTTTCGATGCAAGGTTTTTATGCCGCCGTAATCAAAAATTCGGGGGAGTATAGTTTTTGCCCTGTCCGTCTGTTTGTCCACAAAAAAGTTAATCATGATCATAACGCAGGAATATTAAGGCTTTCTACATAGGCAATTTAGCCACATATGATCCACATATGTATTGCCTTTCATATGAAGATCATATGTGGATCATATGAGAATCATATTTATATACAATCATATGAGAATCATATGTGGCTAATCATATGAGAATCATATGATTACACATATGTAAATCATATGAAGTAATATACATATGATTCTCATATTAAAAATCCTGCATATGAGAATCATATGAATATTCTGACAATAATCATATGAGAATCATATGAAACTGATCATATGAGAATCATATGTAACAATGTTCACTTATTTGTCCTTGTTATACTCAGGTAAAATTCATACGAATGTTTTGACTATAATCATATGAGAATCATATGAAACGGTGATCATATGAGAATCATATGAAACATATGAGTGTTCACTTATCTGTCCTTGTTATACTGAAGTAAAATTGCAATTTCAATAATATATATCAAAAGATAAATTTAAATGTACATTAATTCAAAAGAATTTGTTAATAGTAATTAAATTATACGTAAAGTTCTACTCTGTTTACCCCCTTCCCCCTCCCTTCCTTTCTAAAACATTTCACAATTTTTTTTTTGATAATGCATTTCCCAGACAAACTTGATAAAGTATAGATCAATTTGCCTTTCATTTTAAATCTTTTCGGTTTTGCTTAGTTCTTTAAATTGTAAAATTAAAATATTTCCGCATTTTTTTCAAGGCCGGTTTCGTCTTTTATCGGATGAAAATATACGTCCTTTTTGACGTCACTGCTGCAGAAGACGTGTTGGGTGTTTGGAAAAGGCAAGTGATCTTCTAACAATATTATTTTAAAGACTTTTGATTCATATTGTTTCAATATCATTTCATTATGGTGCGTATGAACTTTCTATATAATATTCTTATTACTTCAATACTTGCATGCATTTCGTAAACCTAACGTTCGTGATCTGTAAGTAAGTTTGGATAAAATTTGTTTCTGAATGAATGTAAACATTACATGTTAGGCTAAAGGCATTACTACTTTTTAGAACTTGTTTTCGTTTTGTTACGTACTGATATGAAAGTGAAAGTAGAAACCTTGTATGTCAGTTGGCGTTATGTATGTTGAGATCGTTATCAAGTCCGGATTCCTTCTTCAAATTAATGACAAAAAATGTTTGTTTTTATGGCCTATAGATGCATTCGGCAACTTGAGTTCAGTTAGATAGAATGTTCTATCGTTAAAATGATATTGTCCTACGGACCTGGTGAGGGCCTGTCCCGAGACACAGTTAGATTATTCTAACTAGAGTTCAGTGTCACAGTGCTGTTTTTTTTCAGTCCAAAGAGTCCGAAGCTGGTAAGACTGGCGATTGATCTTGAAGCTGATTTGACAGACGATTGCATCAATATTGAAGGTAAAAATAAATACTTGCAATAAAAAATCAAAGTATCTGTAATGTCTCTTTAATTCTTTATGACAAAATATTTCTTTATTATTTTTTTTTTGTTCTTTTATAATTCTACATTGTTTGCATGGCTTCATCAAAAATAAATTCAACTCAACTCAATACTCTAGAAATTTTATTCTACATTATATGCTGGCTGTAAAGGCTATGAAACTATATAGTATACAATAACTTTTTGGGGAGAGGGGGGATAAATTGGATTTTTGAATTTCAACTAAAAATTTATAACAGTGACGGTATAAATACATGCATGTGCATGTGTGTTGAAAGAACATCAGCTAGCTAATCCATTGAATACTTACATCTATGTATTCATTGACTGACAATTATTTTTTCCCCCCAACACTAGTGAATGGTGTGCGTGCCTATAGTTTCGGGTTAAATGTTAGATATATTTAAGACTATAGAGAACCTACAAAATTAAAGACTATAGAGAACCTACAAACTTGTACTCTCTCTTTTTAATAGTTTAAGTTTTAATTAAATGTATTCTTAGAAAATATCTACTGTGTGAGACTGCGAGTATTTGTCTTACAGGTTCAATATACAGTCAGCCTCTCATAAGATAAAGAACAAATCCCAAGATCCAAGGCTTGCTTCAAAGTTAAGGTAACTACACACTGTTAAATAAACTTTGTTATAGTCTTCCCAAAAGTTTGGGATATCTTGGAATCACAATGTCTGTTTTTCTGCCTGTCTACTTGTCTGTAGTATTTTTTGTCCAAAAATAATATACATGTATTTGTATCAGAATCTTCTTAATTTTTTGACAATCTGAATTAATATATACAGTTTAAACAATCCAAATTTAATTGTCAAAATAACAAAAAATTGCTTTTTATGATTTTATTATGAAGCATATCTTTCAATAGTGTAATTGTTTTGCAAATTACATCATAGGATTCCTCAAAACACCTAGTATAACATATATAACATTAGTTTTATCTTGTATCATATCTGTGTCAGTGAATTGGGCATACATTTGTTTGCTGATTATACCTAAGTAACTTTTATAACTCATAGAATTTAAGAATTATTTTATTTTTACTTTTGAAATTTTTGTAGAAACTATTCTGAGCCACAAAGAAATTGTTCAGGAAGAGGAGAAGTGGTGGATATTTATTTTTGGTATGGTACAGTTCAAAGAGATTTTCAAAATGGTCATGGAAGATCAAAGGGAGGACAACTGAAAAAATTGAAAGATACAGAAGGAAAAAGAACAAGGAAATATATGGAATAATTATGAAATGGGGAGGATGTACACAATCTTGTCTGAATTTGAGCTGTGAAAATTTCCCATATTCTTATTGTATGCTGGAATAATCAATAACTTGATTTTTCATAAATTTACAAATAGAGAATACATGACAAATGTTATTGCTGATATTTCAATTTTGCTTTGGACACTTTCATGTCATATGGTATTTTTATACATGAACTAATTATGTTATTCATTTGTACATGTACAGTATACATGTTTAACTACTAAATCACTTTGCTGAAATCTTATAATTTATACTCATGTTAGAATATGTTAAATACATGTATCGACAAATGCTTCTGACTTGTTTGTATATTTTCTTGTTTAGAATGTACACTGTGAAAGATAAGTTATTTCTCTTGATGAAAATAATTTTATCAAAAAAGTTGTGCAAGCATTTTAAGATATTTTAAAATATTTAACCAATGGAGATAGATCATTGTAATGTAATGAATTTTCATCTAAAGCAGAAATATCTGATTTTCAAATGTGTACAAGAATGTGAAAAAATATTGAAAAACAACACACAAGTGTTTCATATGATTTACATATGATGTCATTTTCATATGATTCTCATATGTAAATGGCTTGAAACACACTTAAATCATTCATATGAAAATCATATGTAGTTATTTTCATATGATTCACATATGTGGATCATATGTAAATCATATGATTTGCTTCATATGATTCACATATGATGCCCTTTTTCTATGATTCTCATATGAAACCAATCATATGAGAATCATATGATACTCATATGAGAATCATATGTGGGTAAGTTGCCTGTGTATGAAGAAATCAACGGAATATAGACGTGGAAACACCCCCCCCCCCCCCCCCCCCCCCCCCCCCCCCGAAAATTAAGTACTGAATTAAGCTCGGTCTCATGAATTGACACTCATGTGATAAATGCACAGTTTTTGTAGTGAATGTCGGTAAAAAACAAATTTCAATATCGCAAGGTCATACCCTAGTTGTAATTAAAAGTTTAAGATGTGAATTGTTTCGATTATTCTGCATACTTTGTACTTTCTGGAAAGTGCTGCTGCTTTAAGGACCCTCTCTACACAAGTGCAAAATGTTTTTTGGACATTGAGGAAAATATTTTGCACAAAGGTGTTAATATTGAGCTTATCTATTTAATTTTCATTATATGGTACGTGGCATTTACCACCAGGAAAAATGTTCAAACACAACACATATCAGTGAACAGAAATCAAAGTTGTTTACTTCCACATAGAAAATACATGTAAGTAACATGTTACATTAATTTATATTGGTCTTTTAAAATGTTCAGAAAAAAAAAATAGAATCAGAACTCTCTTGTGTGCAGTGTAGAGAGGGTTCTTAAAAAGAATTCGCATTTTAATTAGTTTAATTTCAAGTAAATTGACTCATGTCGAAATATGATAGACCTTTACCAAGTATTTTGTGTACTTACAATTACTAAGTCACACTTTCGATTTAAAGAGAGCAACAGCACTTTTCAAATTAAGGAACCCATTAAGTGTATAGCCATACGAAAAAGCGATTTAATTAGGCACCTCGATATTAGATATGCCAAATCTGTACACAAAAACACAGTAAAATTAATTAAATACGTTCTATCGATAATAATTAAATAATCGCACTAAACAAAGCTTTTATATTTGTGTTGATAGCCTGTCTAAAATCTGTACATAATATTCTGTTTAATAATAAAATGCATTATTCACTGTTAAAATAAAATACGAGGGCTGTTCAATAAATAATGTCCTTAGCTCTATGACACACAACATAGAAATCATATGACATAAAGCTTGACTTAAATTTATCTCATGATTGAATTTTAATGATTTGATTACACAGTTCATGTGACACTTTTAATCACATAGTTTCATTGTGAGAAGCTGGAAAACAAGGGCTATTCGAGACACTGCATTAAAAATGAATGGTAAAGAATCATTAAACTAGAGTAAAATTAAACGCTTCATTAAAGCTGTTGTAAACCTTGTTAAGAATCCCAAAGAAGTAT